CAATAGATTTCCATCTCTAATCTTGAGGATTCTATGGAAATGGCTTTACCTATGAAGAAGGTGTCCACACGGCAGAACGTGGGCTCCGACACGCGAGGTGTGAATGTCCTGTTTCAAGACATAAGAATTAGCATGTATCTTCCCAAGTACCAAACACACTAAAGCTAAAGCCAAAGCCAAAAGAGAAAAAGGAAAAAAAGAATATTTCAGTAGGTACACAATTAAGCTATAGAATTTATTTTCAAGTAAACTTTTAATAGCTGAAACATTTAAAAAAACAACCCTTACCTCCAAACATATTGGACAGTCCTGCCTGGAGACATTTTCAATGCACTTTGTAAAGAAAGAAAAAAGACAGCTTAACAGGAAAGAAAAATAAATGTAGATTCTTGCATAATAGAAGTACTTGGATCTACACTTCCTTAGAATATATAAAAGTTTCATGAAACCTTTTACTACCCCAAACATGGGTTCAAATTCCATCAAAGGGGATTCCAGTAAAATCTGTGAATGCTAACATTTCCAATTTTAATTTTTTTTAAATTGTTATGGGACTTCCAAAAAAGAAACTGTTAGATGCCACTAGGAAAGTGGCAAATCAAACTGAGAGAATCATAAAACATTTCTAGAAGAGTTGATCATAGATACGGGGACTCCAGATGTACAATGAAATTTCAAAGAGTATATTCCATGGGATTGACATTGCAAGGGAAGCAATACAGAAGTCCAGTGCTGTTCAATGTTGCTGTTCAGGACTGCAAGACATTGGTGGAAGGAGGAAAGTATTCACAGCACTGCTCTGTATTATACATGGGTCTAGCTAGGACATACCAGCTCTCATTTTCATAAACACAGTGCTAGGGGAGAGCTGTGTTCTTTTTAAATGAAACTATAGAGTATTACATTCATACCTTATGTTTTCCTTGAAGACTCAAGGCTAGACATAAGTTACATTTTGAACAGTGGAAAAAGTCTTCTTTTGGACCAATCCTAAAGAGACAGGCAGTCAGTTAGGAATAGTTTGCCAATTTCTGTACAATTTACATTTTAATACCTGCAAGAAAAGTTTCACACTTAGAAAAGAGGATTTCTCTCCCAGATCGAGAAAATGTTTTATTTTAAAAGGACTGTGACATTTGAGGCAGTTAAGAAGTGAAACTGATTACACAAAGAGCTGTCAAAAGCACAATATTTTTAACTGTTTCCTTCAAGCCTTTAAATTAAACATTTGTAAGTGTCACTTTTAACAGTAACCAGGGCAACTTTAAGATCAAGTATATTTTCAAGCTGATGGCCTTTGTTTTATGGTAGCCACCAACTTTTCCCCCTCTTTAGCACTTATTAATTTTCACAATGGCAGACATTTACAATAGCTGCAGTGCAAGGAAACTGCTTCAAGAGATGCCTGTACTAAAATAATTCCCCACCATCATGTATTCAGTGACATTTTTAAAGATCAAACCTTCATTATTTTTGAGCTACATCAGAAGGAAAAGCTTATCTCCAATATGCAGCCTGCTTCCCTGCATCTCAAAAAATCCACTATTAGTCTCAGATTTGCAGATGCTACCCCTGTTATTTCCTAGTAACAATAGATCTAAGTAACTATAATTAGCACAGGTTAAACAGACACTTGTTTTACAGATTTTCTATTACGTAAACACAGTTCAAATCTCTCCAAAAGTCATGCATTTAGGAATCTCTGGAACCCAATCTCTGGAAACAAAGACTCTGAACTATCATGTTAATGTTCTCTCTAAAATGAAGAGAAATTAGCACCAACATGTTTATAACTGTGGAAGTCAAAAATTCTAAGACTGCTTTCCTTAATATTAATCAGTGGTACAGAGGAGTTAGATGAAAATGTATAGCATAGGTCTGCTGCAGAATGCTGCTATAGTTTAAACACAGAATAATATTAACTTAATTCAGCCACCAAGATTTCAAGATGTTTGTGTAGATCTTTTTAAAAGGACAATTTTTTTGCAGCAGTGGGAAATTAAGAAGTCTTTCCCCCCCTACAACAAACACTACAGATCTTTTACCCAAAGTACAGCGCTCTACTGCATATTCTGTTTTTGGCATTCTACACATGAAATGAGTGCAGAATATGCAACAGGGGATCGGGGGGAAATTTTTCCCTTCCCTGACTGCGTTAAACCTGTGCAACATCACTAGAAGATTTATTTTAGTGAACAAAAGGGAATCATGACGTTTAAGACCTACAACCAGAATTGTTTTAGGAAAATCCATTTTAATTAGGCGTTTAAAAGCAACAGAAAGCTTTTAAACAAGTCATTACTTGACAAAACTGTCCCTTTATTAATGCGAATTCAGTATAAAAGGACACCCCCTAAACTTTCCCATATCTACATTACACACAGAGGCAAAAAACTATATGCAAATAATGGAATGACTTTTTAAAGTGTTAAGCAAGACCTATTTTTAAACTCATAGCTGCCTTCTAGCATCCTGAATTCTTAAACACAATGCATAATTTCAATTTCAAATACTATATCTTAAAGTTACCAATATTTAAGCCAACCTAAGCAGAATTGCTTTGTAAACTTGGAAACATGAATAATAAACATCGAAGAAAAAATATTAATTTTAAATACAGTACCTACAAATGCCACACTTCTCACAGTGATACTGCTTCTTGTCTTTGTCAAACAGGTGGCATATACCGCAGTAATATTCTCCAAACATACTGCTGCAATCCTCACAACTCTGTTGAGCCTACGAGTACATACACATTACATAAGCAACTACCAACATTTTACTGGGTGAGAGGGGTTCTTTTAGTTCTTTAAGCTAGCACTTTAATGGGCCGTTGTCACTAGGGTTAAACTTAAGACTTGGTGAGCACAGTACGTCGTCCCACATGACAGAGCCTATACTTTCAGGATTTTATATAGCTTTGTGCCCCATTCTGTCTCCTGCCCACAAAAAAGATGCATATATGCAAGTTTAGAGTTAAGACATTTTAGGCCGGCAATTCTAGTGTCACAGTAAATCCATGTTTACACCTGCCAATCTTGACAGGATTTTTATAAAGTTTCCTTATTCTTTTAATCAAAAACAGTCTTCACTGGGGACATTTTACACGCTGTCTAAGGAATTAGATTTCAAACTTTGTCTCACAGAATAAGCCCGAGAAATAGGACTATAGGATTTGCTGTACTTGGTCAAGCCACTTAGTTTGGGTGGACACGAGATAGAGTCCTATGTTCTCCCATCCCCCTCCCCCCCCTACATTCTTATTACTGTGGCAGTATATTGGAAGGGGGGGGATCAAATCTAGACACAAATCCTGTACACAGCATTGGTCCAGAAATACCAAAACAGCAGAATGAAACAGATACGGTTGTAAGTTTCATTATCTAGATGAGTTTTCTATCGCACCTATCTCCGTCCTTACTAGTGCTGCTGTGGAAGTGCTACCTGCAGGAACACAGGGAACGATCAGAAGCTACAGGAGACACATTAAGGTCCTGTCCACACTATAAATGTAACAAAGCCAAGGGACCTGGTTGTAAGAGTTTCAGTCTATAACCTTAATCATGTTAAGGTGGGAGGGATAGCTCAGTGGTTTGAGCATTGGCCTGCTAAACCCAGGGTTGTGAATTCATTCCTTGAGGGGGCCATTTAGGGATCTGGGGCAAAATCTGTACTTGGTCCTGCTAGTGAAGGCAGAGGGCTGGACTCGATGACCTTTCAAGGTCCCTTCCAGTTCTAGGAGATGGGATAGCGCCATTAATTTATTTATGTTCTGTAGCTAGACTAGAGTGTTTATATTAGTTTTGCTAGGAACTGAAACTGCCTTTCTCCTCCTTTAATGTTAACTGGCTAAGTATGGAAAGAGGATAAATGCAACTTCCCCCTAAAATATAGAAATTCCCTTTAGTCTTATCTTACCATTTGAAGGAATGGCGAAATCTACCCCCACGCACGCAGAGTAAAATTAAGACCCTCTATTAAGCATCTGTGTTTTATAATCCCATTCAGATGATAACAATTACAGTCACAGCATATTGAAAACATTCAA